TGTGTGTGTGTGTGTGTGTGTGTGTGTGTGTGTGTGTGTGTGTGTGCGTGTGTGTGTGTGTGTGTGTGTGTGTGTGTGTGTGTGTGTGTGTGTGTGTGTGTACCTACTGAACACTGCTTATGCAACTGGTATTCAAATCACTGTACATGAAGCAGAGTGCAAGGATCTGATTTCAAGCTTGATTTTAAATTGTATTACATTTCTTTTGAGGGTGGTACATAAGGTGAACCAGCATCCACGGTACATTAACCATTGGGCTGAATGTACTACGAGAGGTATTAAACTGTTAATGGAAGTCTCCTGTCTTTACCATAAAACCTGAAGCTCACTGATGTTCCTGATGAAACATTTGACAGAGAGCAACAGGAGAAATATGAGGGAAAATAATCTCGGACACGTATATATGGACTCTTAAGGAAGACAAACACTTGTTCAGGTTTTTAAATCCACGGTCCTTTTTGTGTGTGGGTGATGATTGGTTCCTCCGGTTTGTTTTTATCTACTTACAGTGAGCTCCACCTCCCCGGGTTTCTGTGATTATCATATGCAGCAGCTCTCTTTGCAGCCAATCTAGTTGTCTAGAAGCCACATAGAGCCAGGGAGACAGATGGTTGATGGATAAGATTCGCTGTGGTTTGATGCCAGGTGTGCTGACCTGCACCTCACCGTATTGGCACAACAGGAAGTTTGTGTTTGTGTGTGTGTGTGTGTCTTCCTCTCTGTTCAGCATGATCCTTTGCTATCAAGCATATGGTGACTATTGATAAAGCCCTGTAGGCAAACTGCTCAGTTAGCCTAGGTGTGTGTGTTGTGTGTGTTGTGTGTGTTGTGTGTGTGTGTGTGTACGTGTGTGTACGAGCACAAACTAAAAAGACTACAAAATTATTATTAATCTAACCTCAAATAATTGTTTCATATTGACTCACAAAAGCCTTCAGCGACTTCAGTTTGTATGACTACACTCATACACACACACACTCACACACTGGTAAACATGGTGACTATACTGTATAATAATGATGTCCTTGGCGTAGTTAGACCGCTCTCGTACTTTTAGCTGAGGTGATTTATTTTACTGGGCATATTTTCTGATCGGATGACGACCTTTCTTTCTCTCTTCACTTTTCCACAGTTTTAATCCTCCCTTCTCTCTCTCCCTGTTTTTTCTCTTGCTTTACATTCTGTCCGTCTCTCCCTCCATCTCACACTGTTTGCCAACTTTCTCCTCCCTCCTCCATCACTGTTTTCTACCCTCCATTGGCTTTCCCTCATCTCTGCTTCTCATCCTCCCCATACTCCTAGGCAGTACATCATTATGTTACAAGTTCTCACATTACAGCTTTATCCGAATCTCTCCCTCTCTCTTTCTCTGTCAGTTGGCGGTGCATTCGTTGTTGGTACTTACACCATCCTCTCCCTAAAGCTTTACTCCTACAAGGACGTCAACATGTGGTGCAGAGAGCTGAGCTCGGTCAAAGCCAAGAAATTGGCCAGGTCGCTGTCTTGTAAGTCACAGAAACACAAGCACATACATTGTTTTTGGCAAGGGAGGGCTAGCGCACTACATTCAAGACCTAAATGAGAATTCATTCTTTGCTAATTTTAAGGTCAGTTTCTGTGTATGGTTTACATTTCTCACCCCAACCGATCCCTCAGCCCCTTGCTTATGTGGTTACAGTGACATCTAACGGCAGATACTTGGTACTGCAACGCTCAGATAAAAGGGAAGTTTGTCATAGAAGCAGACGGGAACTGCAACAGTAGCTACTTTGAGGAATTGTTGCACGTCAACATCCACACCTGGTTGTCATTGTATCATTGTGTCTGTATTTGTATGTAATGCGATGTTAACTTCCACATGCTTTACATGTCTGTGTGTTCCTTCTATTCAGGTCCGTCAGTGCAGCACCTCAACGGAGGCGACCGAAAGGCGTGTTACCCTGGCAACCTCACCATCAGAGGTAATCAAAAAATCTTTCTGGAGTTTGTATGAAACTTTATTGACAATGTTTCTAGAGCCACTGCCTCTTTTTTTTCATGTTCTCACACATTTTGACTGACCGTCCCTTTGATCTCCGTCTCTGTAGACATGTACTACTTTGTCTGTGCTCCAACTCTGTGCTATGAGCTCAACTTCCCGCGCTCTGCCAATATTCGCATGAGTTTCCTGATGAGGAGACTGTTTGAGATGGTGAGGAAATATCTCATGGCATTCAGACAATTAGACATGTAAAGCATCTCTGCTCTAAACATCATGCTATAATCACTTTTCAGCAATGAGTCATAACTCAAATGAAGTTCTTTAAAAGTTACAAACGCTCCATCGTTTGTACAGATGTTATAAAACATATCCCCATATTCTCTTGTCATGTCACTCACTTTATTGATGTGTGTCTTTGTCCCCAGCTGTTCTTCACCCAACTGTTAGTTGGTCTCACTCAACAGGTACGGTCCTTTAATGTAAACTGATGTGTGGTGCTTTATTTTTCGGCCCATTTGCGCATTTCAAGTATTTTTAGTGTCATGTTATAAGGTGTTGGTGAGATCGTATTGCCTTGATTGCCAAAACTATGGAAAAAATGACTAAACATGAGGCCAATCTGTGAAATGTAGAGTTTACTGCGCATGTCAGACAACGGCATAACTTTGCGTTTTGCTTTCCTTCTATCAGTGGATGATTCCCATCATTCAAAGTTCCATGAAACCACTAGAGGTGAGGAGGACAGAATGACAGTGAAAAAACCAACATGGCGTGTTTTTGTCAAATGCAAAGAGCTGCTGCGCGTCGCTTGTTAATCTGTGCGTCTCTCTTCTCTGTAGGACATGGATCTGTCCAGGATGACTGAGAGACTTCTACGATTAGCTGTGAGTAAAACACAACATCTGTATCTGTATCTGTACACCTAGAACCTTTTACTAATATTATTTGTCTCAGTGCTTGTTATACGTTAGTGACTGACTGACTCTACACGAGAATGTATCGTGACTTTGTTGAGAGTATGGGAAGGAAACGGGCTTGAGTTTTGCATCAGGCTTTTACTTGCTGTTAGTGTCCTTTTCCTAAATGTCTCACAGTCATATATATATATTGTTATTGTTCATTTGGGTCCTTCCATTTCTGCAACCCTTCTCCAGGTTCCTAACCACTTGCTGTGGCTGATGTTTTTCTACGGGTTCTTCCACTCGTCTATGAACTTCAGCGCTGAGCTGCTGCGCTTTGGAGACCGACAGTTCTACAAGGACTGGTGGTAAGTTTTAGTGCGTGTGTTGCTTCGGAATTTCATGAGGTGTGGTGGACTGTGCTGGAGGACTGATGGGGCCTTCACATTTCAGAGTTGGTATTTGCATGTGTGTGCATGGGAATGGATGTGAAGTTATATGTAAGCACGTGTGGTAGATAATTTCAGTACCCTGCAAAAATGACAGAGGGGGAAGTCATTGTATGTGTTGTACGTTTGCTGATATTAATAAATCAACTCCATCACTCAATGCACTGTAGGATAATTACTATTGTTTCCTCTTTTCCTGCACGACAAGAAAGATTCTTTGACTTTTAATTTTCATCCATATTGATCCAACGGCCTTAGGTCAATTGTTTAAACCCTGTAAAGCTTCAACACTCTATTTGCTGACTCTCTTTCAGGAACTCCGAGTCGGTGACATATTTCTGGCAGAACTGGAACATCCCTGTACACAAGTGGTGTCTACGGTGAGTTATTCGCACTCTGCACACACTGAGAGGGAGCGTTGAAATTTATAGACGTGAACACGGGGGACAGCAGTGGGTTTGATACAGGGAGAAAGACTTAACAAGGCACGCTGATGCGTTTAGGAAATTGATTCATATGGCTGTGAGAGAGTAAGTACTAGTAATAAATACGGCGCCTGCAGCCGGTTCCACATAAACGAACACGGCAGCAGCAGCAAATGCAGTGAGGTTTGTATTAAACAAGACAAAGCAAATGAAATGCTATTTAAAGGGTTTGACGCCTATTCACTTTGAATTCCTGTCAGTCTGGGAGAATTGCAGCAAATAAGAGAGTTAAGATACTTCCACATGAATTATTACACATTAGGAAACCGCTTTTGACATTCTGATTTACAATACATGTCCATCCCCCACATCATCCGTCCATTCATCCATTTCAACGTCTGTGTTTTTGCCTGTCTTGCAGACACTTTTACAAGCCGCTGCTTAGGAGAGGATTTAGTAAAATAGTCAGCCAATCAGCTGTCTTCTTCTTGTCGGCTTTCTTCCATGAGGTAAGAGCTGAGAACCAAGACCACTTTCTCTGCTTGTGTTGACACTGAATACACTGTGCCTTTCAGACCTTAAATGTCCTCAAAAATCCTGTTTCACGTAGATGTCTTTGAACAAAAACTGTTTTGTGTTTTATGGAGAACACAATTTATTTGATGTAATGATCTTTGTTTCCTTTGTCAGTACTTGGTCAGTGTTCCTCTCAGGATGTTCAGACTTTGGGCCTTCATGGGCATGATGGCACAGGTAAGACCCAACACCTATCACTGATGATGAATCTAGCTGTCAGCACAAACCTGTACTGTTGTATACATATATATAACAAAATCTATATTTTAAGTATGAATCTGCATAATATGCCTTGTGATCTAGGTACAAATGAGAGATAGTTAGAGGTAGCGTTGCATTTAGTTCATAGTTTTATTTTTTTAGCCAAATAATACTAAAAGTCAAAGTAAAGACAAGTGGTTGATGCTCTTTTTGAAGTTTTAAAAGGTGTTCTCAGCATTTGGCCTTGGCATCAGTGTCATTAACTTAATTAATAACCTAATTAAGATAGCATATTAGCATGGGCGTATTTGATATATTATAGGGATGATAACAGAACAAAAGGCAACATAAGGGCCTCTTGGTCTTTGTTGAGTTAGTTAGTTATTCATTAGAGTGCTGAGTCATAAAACACAGACTACATAAATCAGAATAAAATACACAGTCAATGTGAGACTGTAATTAGTCTTTAAAAACCTAATGACCCGCTGTGTTTCTTCCATTTCTACTTTCATCTACTCTTCAGCTTCCATTGGCCTGGTTTGTCGGTCGCTCCTTGCACGGTACCTACGGCAACGCTGCGGTGTGGATCTCAATCATCATCGGTCAGCCATTCGCCGTCCTGATGTACGTCCACGACTATTACGTCCTGCAACACAGACAGGAGGCTGACTGATGTGCGTGCACACACACACACACACACACACACACAGAAGTACCACTTGCATCCAGTGCTGCAGGAATCGTACTTCACACGTCAGGGTGAACTGATCATAGTGTGTTTACATTAGACACCTTGTCCATTGTATCTCCTTGTAATGTAATGTTTTTCTTCCTATACATTTTTTTCTTCACGTTGGGAAAAATAAGAATAACTGTAACAGAAAGATGTTGAATCTTGAAGCATCACTGTGATGTAGGGAGTGAGGCCTCTCTTCTGTATCATGTGACATAATCATGCAGCTTTTCACTTCTCTGATGGACAGCTTGGGTACTGTGTGATGCTGTGCTGCTCTTCAGCTGTGGTCATGGCCAGGATAAGGACTGTGGCTGCTTTTTATCAATTGACATCATGATTTAAGTGCTTTTGTAAAAGTTGTGATGGAGATTTATGATCTGCTGTGTTTCATTTTCATGAGCCAAAGGGGCTTAATCTGTCCGGTGTGAATGTAGATGGAATACTGAGAAGAGTACGATTTTATTAATGTACGTGTTTTTTTTATGATGATTTGCTTTGTCTGTTATAAAAAGGCCAGCTAGCTGTATGTCTGTTTTTTTTTTCCTTTTCTTTTGACCTTAGTGCCATTACAATAATATCGCACACATCCGTTTGTGCAACACTTTTTTGGGTGATTCGTTTTGTTTTGTTTTTTGTCACGGTGCTATCTCATTGGACTGTTGCCAAGTAATGATGTCTAATCATGCGTCTAAATTCAATTTGTGTGTCTAAAAATAAACATTCAGAGATTTAATTGAAGATTTTTTTTCAGTGTGTTATTTGTTGCTGATGTTTATCAGATCTTTATTGAACATAACATTTTTAATTAGATCAAAGTAAATAGAGATTTAAAGCAAAAGGTAGATGTGAAACTCACAGAAGACACAGAGAACCAGAAGAGAAAAGGTAAGAGTCCCTTAGCTTTAGTACATTTGTTAACAAGTAGCTGACAAATGTATGCAAACATTTATCACGGTAAAAATGAGCATCTGTAAATGCAAGTAAGAAGTGCTTTCAAATGTGCCTGCTATAGAAGGGTAACATGAAAAGTTCAGTTCAACACTTGTTCTGTGGTCCAGCAAACTGTAACCTTGTAGTTGCTCCCGAGTGAAAAATTCAGTCAGTTACAGGTCAACAAGTTGATAACTTATTTTACATCCATGATCTGCTGCTGAACAGTCATCAACAGGTAGAGGAGGGAAGCCCTCACCCAAATACTGCACAGGTAAGTTTGCACATTTGTGAGAAAAGCTTTTACCAAAAACTGAAGGAACTGCTCGTTACCGTCACCATGAGATATCTTTTCTAAGCTGTACTCGGCATGAACCGTTATGTATACATTCAGGAATGAACACTTTCATTCATCCGTAACTTGCATTTCTTATTTACTACAGTCTATGTTAAGGGATTTTTTTAATGCATATTTAAGCCTCTGAACTGAAGAATATGAAAATGAATATTGTTTCAATCTGTCTTGTTGCTAAAAAAGGACATTTCTGAGTCAGACACTCCTTTTGTGAACCTGTCCTTGCAAACCTACAGGTCCATGTCACAGACAGATATGCTGCATTCACACACTTTTTAGGCTCGTAAAAATAAGACTAAACTTCCTTTTGTACTCTCATTCTTCAAAAATACCCCTTCACCCTAATCCTAAATCATGACTCGTCTAATCTCCTTTTACATCCTTATTTATTTTTCTCGTATGTCTTCTGAGATCATATTAATACTGTTTGGAATCAGTTTTGACATTTATCACGTCTCTGGGATGTGTCCAGACTGAGTCATTTTGAATTCTTGTATTAGTTTCAGTCACAGACATTTAATGCACCACAAGTTAAATGACTTAAAACGACAATTAGTCTGTGAAATTCATCTGGATTAGGGAACCATACCGGGTTTAATATCAAACTTAAGACGGTGTTAAACATCATTTTACCACTTTGCTTTTGGGCATCTCAGCCAAGGGGGGGGGTGTATGTGTGTGTGTGCATATTTGTCATCCAGAAACTGTGAAAAGGACAGAACTGTGAACCTGTATTTTGTCAGCTTGACAGTGAATTAAACAGCAAGTCTGAGGCACATCACAAAGTTTCTCTATATGCGTGTGTACGTGCTCTGTGAGTGACATTCAGTTAAACAATCGTCAGTGAGGATTAGAGTAGATGTGACATGAAACATGGCTTTGCAGGATACACCACACAATGTAGAGTATTGGCGCACAGAGAAAATGTACTACCTTATTTTCTCCTTGTTTTTTTTATTCCAAGAATTAAGATGAATTCATTCCAAAGAAGGACTTGAACCCACTGTTTCAGCAGAGGTAGCAATGCTATTCTGGGACATGTCCACATGTAGGGACTCACTGAAAACAAGAACATTACCACTTATTGTCAGGGTTTAGAAAATGCTGACCTACTATGCGTTAATGAGGTGATTTTAGTTGCAAAAACCCCAGACACAGCATTTTCAGCATCACATTGTAAAAATCATACTAAGTTATTTTCTTCAGGGGCCATTAAAGTCTCACTCTGTTGAACATAAATACTCTGAAGTGGCGGGTAACGCTTTACAAGAGATGTGGTGGGCAAGCGATGTTTCTGCCTGCATCTTGACAAGAGGGATATGTGCAATTATTTGTTTTAGCAATCGATTCCTCACATCCGTCCCCATAACCGCCACCGATGCCAAAAAGTACGCTTTTGCTGCACGACAACCGTAATCCTCCATTCATCCCCTTCTCACTCCTGACAAATAAACCGCGAGAGAGAGGAAGGAGGGGGAGCTAGTAAAAAGTGCAGACACCTCGTCATCTCTCGTCTATTCTCAATATTCAGACGGTTCCTGTCATAAACGAGTTCCCCTGTTTGGACTGAGTCACACATTTATGCACCTCTCTCTGCATAACTGCACACACAAACATATGTCATAAAATGATCCATCTGTCATTTCAACACCTATGCATATGGACAGACATACACTCTGTCTTCCAGTCTTTGCTTTATCTAAATTATTTTCTTTCACACCTCCCCCTTCTCTCTCTTCTTTCCTCTCTGTCCCCAATCTTCTCTTTGTGCTCGTCCCCAGTAACAGGTTGATCCATGGCTCTTCTCCTGACATCCGTTATTCCGGATTTTTCCGAGAAACGCTGACAAGCTGTGAGTGATGATGATCCTCTAGACAGGAAACCAGGAGACACAAACCTGTCTCATTCTGCAAGATGGATGGAGCGTAGGTCCAGGGACACATTGAAAAGAGACAGCCTGAGCCTTACATCTGAATACAACTTTTGGACGGGCGTTTGTATATTTAGATTCAAGTATTCAGGTGATAAACAAAAGAATTATACAGTATGACCTAAATAGCATGTTTACATGAGACACACTTGATGCAAAATCTGATTTTTACACTGATGTTTTGCTTTTCATACACATTTTTGCAATTGCAAAGACACAAAAACTGGCACAATTACTGAAAGCACTGATTACTGAATTCGACAATAAAACACATAACACAAATATTTTCTGGCAGCAGGAAATAAAATTCCCCTCCGACATACGTTTGGTTTAATGCGTCTGAAACACATCATTTTTGTGCTTTTTCTGAAAAATGTAGAAAAGATAGAGACTTTTTTTCTTTCTTCTTCTGTCAAATGCTCTGCCTCCTCTAAAGATAACAAATTACCTGAGCAGTATTTACTGTCTCTGTGTCAGGATGAGAAAGAACATCAAATCACTAGTTAAGCCTGATTTGTTTTGTAGCTCAACTGAGTGAAATGAAAAGATCTGTTCAGGTTCAGGATTTTGTGTTTTGAGTTTTTTTTCATATACGTATATATCACTGTGAATCATGACAGCACAAATCAGAGGGCTTTCTGTCGTCGTCTTCGAGTTCGCTCCCATATATCACTCTTCATTCATATTCATAATGCAGATCAGGGTTGGCCAAATCCCTTCTCCTCGATAGAGGACACCTAATTTATGTTATTTTACATCACAAAGGAAGAGATTTATGGCTGCATCAACACACGCAGTTGATTGTTTTTACAAATGATTTATTCTTCTTTTTTCATCCAATTCTTAAAGTTCTTAAAGCCAAAAATTATCTTTATACTATTTATTGGTATTACAAAAAAACATTCAGTTTTCACAGTCAAGTGTCATCGTTTTAAGGATACAAGGTTTCTGGGGTTATATACTGGTACTGATGCGTTGTTTTTAAAATGGGTGCATTATAATTCCCTGAATATAACAACATTGCGCAGTTTAACGTTAAAATAGGGTTAGCAAGGTTTTCTTGTTGTCTTTTCACCAGCTTATATGTGTTACTTCAAATGCAATGTACTGCACATTATTTCACAATGGTTTCATAACCAGTTCCATTTTTTTATTTTCTGTGGGGAACATGCAGAACTTCCATCATTTGTGTTTTACAGTTTAGTTCCTTTTAGTCTAAGCTTTATACACAACAATATTTGACCATTTGGAAAAATACTTTATGGACCAGTGTATCACACATGAAGCTATGCGTTGTGCATTGGTGTGTGTGTGTGTGTGCGCACTGTACATGGGCAGACATGTGCGTGTCCCGGCAGAATGTAAACACATACTAAGACTTCCTGTCTGAAGACCAAACTGAGGGAAGATTTAAATTGAGAGGGAGGGAAGTAGAAAGACAGTGTCATTGACGAGAGAGAGAGAGAGAGAGAGAGAGAGAGAGAGAGAGAGAGAGAGAGAGAGAGA